CTTCCTTCGACGAGAACTTAGCTGATCCTTATTATCCTAACGGAGACTAGATACTCGCTAAAACAACAACAACAACAGAAGGATTCGTTGATATGACTATTGATGATATAAAATTAAATTTGGAAGTTGGCGATTAAGCGAAGAAACTGAAATACTGATAAACTCTACTCAGCAAATCAGTGGATCTAATTTTGAGAAACTTGTAAAAGACTACTTCAGATACGATATCAGCGCATGTCTAAATTTCTGGAGTTAAATAGATGCATCTATGTTGTGGTTGTATCTGCGGTTGTATCTGCAAAGTAGTACATTCTTCAAATAAGCTGCTACAGTGTTGACAGTCATTGGCAGTAAAAATTCATTCATTTTGATTAATGGGAAGGAAAACCTCGTAACTCCCGGAACCATCATAGGGAATTTTCATTGCCTTATCCTCAAATGGTTTTACGATATTGACGCCAGGCAATGGAATTAATGACATAGGTATGTTGCAAATTAAATCTCTATCTCATCGATATGTATCGCCTTACACTCTCCCCCACTAAATCCACACGGCGAAGGAATACAGACTGTACTTTGATATCACTGTCGATCGTATAATATTAAAATTCCGTATTTCAACTACCCTAAGATTTAAGTGTTAGACTTCTCAAGTTGCTACATCTAGATGTGTATAAGAGACAGCTACAAAGTAGTACATTCTTCATATAAGCTGCTACAGTGTTGACAATCATTGGCAGTAAGAATTCATTCAAGGAAAACCTCGTAACTCCCGGAACCATCATAGGCCTTATCCGCAAATGGTTTTACGATATTGACGTCAGGCGATGGAATTAATGGCATAGGTATGTTCAAAATTAAACCCCTATCTCATTGATATGCATCGCCTTACACTCTCCCCCACTAAATACACACGGCGAAGGAATACAGACTATACTTTGATATCACAGTCGATCGTATAATATTAAAATTCCGTATTTCAACTACCCTAAGATTTAAGTGTTAGACTTCTCAAGTTGCTAGCCGGCAGTATCTGGGAAAAGT